GGACTTATAGGCTTTATAAAATGAAATAAACTTACCTTTTACCTTCATATAAAAAATATTATTATTTTAAAATGTCGAAATTTTCAAATGAATATGTGATTATATCGACCATCAATCGGATAAGTATTACAATTTCCTCAAGTTTCATAGAAGCAAGAGTGTAATTTATAAAGTTTATATCGATAAGAATTTCCGAGCAACCAAACATATTTCCTCAGATATAAATATTCTGAATTGCATCCACCATACGTCTTCCAACGGCACACAATAGCCACATTCAAGATGTCTTCCTCGAGTTCTGAACTTTAAAAACGCAATCTTATCCAACTATTAAATAACTTACCTTATCCTGAATTATAAGTTTACAAAAGAATAACCTAATATCTCTGTATTATCTACTTAATCCTTTCTTTTTCCTTCAGGAATTTGATTTTTATAATGGATAACGTCCTTATTTGCATGGTAAAGCTTTATAGCATAATATCCACCAACATAAAAAAAAATGGGTCGTTACGTTTGAATGGAGGTGAAGTCATTGAAAAGATTAGCAAATTACTAAGTAAAGACAGCGGGGAAAGGCTGTTAAGTATATAGGTTCAAAAGATGGCGAGATTGTTTTAGTAGGGATGATGAGGTGATGAGAAAAAAAGGAGGTTTGCCTATATTTATATACAGTAACACGCATGCTACAATTTTTTAAAAGCTTCATCAATTTTTTCCACTTTCCTTAAGTGCTTTGGTAACAAAAATAAATTAGCTTTTCCCCTAAATTAAATATAAAAAAAAAATGTAACATGGTGCGCAACAAGTGATTTCTCCCCTCATCCAGAAGATAAGAGAGAGTATGTGAAAAGAGAAAATGATCAAAAGATGGTTTAGAAAAATAATTCCGAGTTACAAAGCCAGAAATCTTATTAATTCGTAAAGTAAATATTCAGAAATTGGATATCAAAATATTCTCAGATGAATTCATAAATTTTCATGATTGTTGGAATGATTTAAAAGGGAAGAGAGGGGGAGAAACCGTGGAGAATTTTCGTATAAATGATTTAAATTCTGATAATTTTCTTTTATTTCGAAGCATTTTTATACTTAATGAATAGGAATTTTATAATAAATTAATGCAGTTTTATAATTTTAATTCCGTTCTGAAAAGAAGAAATGGGTTCGACGAAGCAATTACATTAAGATAAATTCACGAAAAATCTTAAATCGATATCGAATGGGTGGTTTTCTTAATGTAAATATTAAAACTTCAACAGGCTAAAATTACTTTTTAAATATTCTAATTTAATGAATGGGATATATTTAAATTAAATTTTCAAAAGAAATATAAATATATCAAAATCGCATAATTTTACCAAGAAGAATTGATGCAGAAAATATTATTATTATTATTATTATTATTATTATTGTTTAAAGAATGATTTAATATGCAAAATATAATTTTTTTAATATATAAATTCTATTTTTAATTCGATCGATGCAATGATATGAAAAATTAAAATATTCATTTAAAATAAAATAAACAAGTGCATCAGACAACATTCATTATTTATTCAGTTTTGTTAATGTAGAAATTAATTAGAACGAATTCGAGTGTGAATATTGTTCATTTATAATCATTTTTACGTAATCTTTTATTATTGACATAGAATTTTTATCTTAATATTGACAGAGGATTTTCTTTTATTAGCATTTAAAATAATTATTCAAAGTTTAAGTAAATTGGAAGAGGAGAAAATGGAAAGGAGTAAAAGACGAGAGAGAGAGAGAGATGGAGGGAAAAAAGGCAATTATACTTTTCCTCTTTAAGGAAAAGTTGGAAAGATATTCGGATACGTTTTAAATAAGTTTTGCAGTTATCATATTTTTTTACCTTTTTAAAACTATGAAAGTAAGTGGAGTAGTATACTGACTTAATGACTAGCAGAAAGCCATTTACATAATAAGAGAGTTTTGCAGTGGTGAAAGTTATTCTAATATTGTGAGACTTTGTACCCATAAACCACGAAATAGCTAGAAAATGGCTTATTCGATAGTTTTATTGACTAGACATCCAAACTTCAACAATATGAGAAGAAGAAGAAGCGGAAAAAGAAAGCCATTTTGTCATCTTCACATTGATCTTGATTTTTGTGTCAAATATCAACTTTTTTCTGTTAATCTCCCTTCTGTTTTAATATATGGTTAAGTTGATAGATGTTAGTTTCTTTTTTTGCTGACTTTTAACTCACAAAAGAAGAGATTCTTTTACTTTTTGACACGGAAGAAAAGGGGTTTTATAATTAGAAAGTTACGATTAATCATCCCTGATAAAACGGGCACCACGAAAATATTAATTTTGCACTAATTGTTTATACGCACTTATTCAATTAAATTGCTCCCTTAATTAGAATTAATATGCACTGTTTCTCTTAACTAATAAGATTTTTATCTAATTCCATTAAGGGTTTAGACTGCCAGACGAATATGATGTGTATCCTTTGGGAGTTGTTGGGGATGAATTGGTAAAGGGGCTCTGGGAGACCTTTCTAAGGATGCTGTTGTGACTAAACTCGCATATTCTAAACGTGAAGCAAAATATTTGGTGTGGAATGCATTCCAACGCATGGTTATACGCATAGTGAGAAGGAATGCATCAGTTATACACAGAGTCGGACGGGGTCAGACATTTATAAGTACGCCTCTGGCATTGATCAAGCGAGCATCGGATTTAAATTCGATGAGTCTACAGCAAGAAAATACACCATAATTGTAAAAATATAAAGAAAAAACTTACATATTTTTTAACCTAAATATAGAATAGGTTCCTGGCTACATCTGGTTGATGTATAGAATAACATCCCTTTTCTATTTTTAGAAGAGATCGACTTCTCTAATGAAGAGTAGAAAGCTAAAAAGGGGGATTTCAGATAAAGAAGGAAAAAATTTCTATATTTTATTCTCATTAAAAAAACATCGCGGTAAATAATTATCGTAGTTAATTTATTCAAAACTCTATTTTTCCTTATTAACGAGCATTTGTATAATATAATCTAATCCGAGAAAATCGGCAATTCAGTTCAAATGTCCAATTAGGAACGACGGATATCACCTAATGAACATTTGGGTTATTAAATTTTAATGAAGAAAATAATGGTATTAATGTAGCTAGTTATACTCGATTCTCTTAACTTGACGGAGATTGTTTAATTAGAAATTTTAAGATTCTCTTCGTCCGGATTTCCTATCTTCTTCTTCTTCTTTTTTTTTTTTTACTTATCTAACAAGTACTAGAATTGTATGGATAATATCAAATGCTGCTGTGACCTAATGGATTTTCAGTTGTGGGTCAATAAAAGAGAAAAAGATATAAGTGAATGGTGAACAACATTAGCTACGATTCGATGAAAATGCTTCGTGTCCGACTTGTCTTTTTTCTCTTACTTCTTTCCTCTTTCTCTACTCCACATGAACCTGCTTCTCCCTCTTTTTTAATATATAAATCTGCCTTTTTTTGGGCTTGATCAATTATAATTTTGACCCATTTACTTTCACATGAGGTATAATCGAGTTTTTAACTTTTTAACGGGTATAAATTTCGCTTTATGTTCATCTATCAGGACGTCTGCCAGTCTAGCCGACGTGTTCGATCCGAGATGCATCTTAAATTCTTTAAAATTTGTATAAAAATTTAAATAATAATTTTTTAAAACATCATTTATCTCTTCCAAATTTCAATATAAATATTCTTTTTCTAGTTTAGTTAAAGATAAATATTCAATTTATTTTAAACCATTTTTTAATAAGTTAATGGATACAATTTTATTTAATAAATAATTTAATTATAAATATACGATAATTAAATAATTTTATGTCGTTCGAAGTGTCTTTATTAATTTTATAAATAATTAAAATTTATTAAATTATTTATGCTTCTATTTTTTAAAATATTTTAAATGTTTTAAAAATAATTAATTAATCGAATTAATTTTAATAAAATAAAATTTTAAATCAGAAATAAAAATAATTAAACGAATTAATTATTTTTATTTATGATTTAAATTCTATTTGAATCTTTATGAAAATAAATATAATTTCCATGCAGATTTTTAAAATATTTAAATAAATAAGATTAAATATTAGCGTAAATCTAAAAATGAAATGAATTAAATTTGTAAGCGTTAATTTTAATTGTAAAAGATGTGAAAATTGTTCGATTTGCAGCAAATATGCTTAAAATAATTGTAATGTAGTTTTAATTGTGAAAGTGTTAAGTGCATATTGATTAAAAGTCAAATAATTTTCACATCTTTTGACAAATTTTTGTCCGCGATCATCAACATAAAGCTTTATATTCTACTCTTAAGTAACGAGAGAATTTTCTATCCAGTTATATTAATGCATACACGATGATTAACCGAGGCAGAACTACTTCCACTTAACCATTATGCTAATATAGTAGCAAAATAAAGCTAACAGGAACACCATGCTAGTTGAAAATCCCAAGCCAGAATGGTGCTCCTCCATGTTTTCCCGTAGTAATGAGCTCATTTCCATGATAATGTTAAGATAATGACTTATTTTGTCACACACATCTCTATCAACCATCGACCTTTTCTCTTTACTTTCCAACAACACACAAACAATTATGATGTAACGACATAATCCGGTTCTTCTTCTTGAAATTTGCGACGTCACGCCGTCAACGTCACACCATCTCTACCATATATGGTAAATAGCACCTGTGAGGGGGGGAGCTAACGACCTCAAACTGCGACCTTAACCTTGTATCACGACGACATTACGTTTTCTATTCGGTCTAAAATTCGACCGAGGGGTTTAACGCAGGTAAACTCGTTTCCGTCACGATCTTCCGTAAAAGCGTCACGGCTTATCTAGAGGTTCACGAACTGTCGTGACGTCATTGTCTCCGCCCCTAACGAATAAACAGTGATACCGATGCTTCTAGCGCCATTCCAGTTGCTGCCAGTTCGCCCCGACGTCAATGCCAACTCCATTTCGTACGAAGTTTACCGTCTTCCGTGGCTCTCGATTAACGTGAAAACGTCGAAAATGTTACGTCGGTGATATTTTTACGCACCGCAGTACACGAAATTGTTAGGCATTTGCAGTTAGCGGGCGTAACGCCACGGTGTGGGAGTGAGTAGCGGCGATTATCAGAAGAGCCGAGCTGTAGCTTGGCTGTGGCTTGTTTAGTGTAATACAAAGAATCAGCGGTGCTGACGGTGGTGTGGTATGGAGGTGCAACTTAGCGTAATGTCCGTAATTTCGACGTTATTTTCTTTGTGAACGTTAAAGGTAAGCGGGGCAATGTTCCTAACTTAGGCACAGCGTAACGCTCGCACCCGTGTATGTGCACTACTAATGCTTCCACTATAATCGCTTACTGCAGTGTTTATATTAAACCATAGCTACTTGTATGTGTTTGTGTGTGTGTAGTTTACAATTAAGATCGAATAACGTATCCAAGCCCGACTGTGTTATTTTGTGACATTAAAATAGACGGAAAGGTAGCTCCTGTAATGTGCTAAAGCAACACGGCACTAGTGTTATGTAGTGGAGAGCCGTGTTTATAAAAATACTCGTCGAGCGAGGTGGATGTATCGGATAGATGGAGCGTGTGCCGGTTGGGATTCTCACCCCGAGCACGTCACAACACTAAGTTACCAATATTTCCCCAAGAATTATGTCCAGCTATAACTGCTTACAACGGATCATCAGTTGAGTAGTACTTACTTACAGAACACCATAAAAATGTTGGTTGTATGTTTGGTGAGAAACGTTGCCCCGTTAACGATATTTTTGTCGTTGCCATACAATCGATAGTTGACCCACTTATATAATAACCTATCCGGATTTTTGGATTAATTTCGGAAAAAGAATTAGCAATGGCTAACGTGGAGTAACGCGGTGGTGACGATAGAAAGGCGGGTGTAAAGTTTGTTATGACAAACGCGTTAGGCTAATGTCCCGGGTTATAAATAGTACATCTTTTTGGTGAGCAGTTCGTCTTTGTATATAAACTGTCCAGGGCTCGTTCGAGACATCCGGGACTTGATGTGAGGCTATCGTCTCTGTCTCCGGTTTTCTCCCGACAGCATGAAATGATTAGGGACTTCACTATCTGGAACCATGCCAGGATGGCTGAGGGTTGTGAACCTTTTCCTTCGTTTTCTCGACTTCTCTACGTAACGTTCTTAATTGTTACTTCCCTCCTTAGGGAGTCTTAGTGTTGGAATTCTTTGGCGTAATGCCTAACATATTCGTTAATTTGTGAACTGGTGGTTTATAAATCCTGTTTTAATTCTGTTTGAAAGATGCGTCACGTGTCGTGGCTTTATTATTATCGTCGAAACGTTCACGTTTCACGTACCTAACTCACTGAGTCGTTTACTGTTTGGCCAAACCGGAAATGAATGTTATGCTATATAACAATAACGAGATCCACGGTCGGTTCACCTGTGTTTGCATGATAAAAGATCTTTCCGGTGTAATTTTGCGTAACACTTTATTTTTCATTCGTTTTAATTTAATATATTATAACAACAGTCAATTTGTGGTAATGATTTACGGCAATTTCCGAAGGTAATGTTTTTCTAAAGCGTAGTAACGCCCACTACTTCCAAAATGGCGACAAACTTTCTCAAAACCTTGCAGTAAACCTTGCATTAACGTCACGGCTTTCCACGCTTCACGGTAGTTTCAATAAATTCTATTACTTTCCAGTAGAACACCTCCATGAGTCACTCGTGACGATGAAAATGATTTCTGGACCTCGCATTGACCTTTCACCTCGTTAGTGCTTCATTTCTGATAGTTGATGGAGGATATGAATCACCCGCTTTTTACTAAAATGGCGTATCTTTTAGTGGATAATAAATCATTTTATCTATACAGTTACATAATAAAAAAAAATTCGATACTTCTGAATAATTTCAACATTTTCAAATCTCTAGTTTACATTGATCAATAGAAATTTCGAGTATCTGATCCATAAATGGTAACGAGAAAGAGCCGTAATTAGGCGAAATATTAATTATGACATTTATAACATTATCGAATTTTGAAATCTTTTTCTCCTGTTGTTTTTTTCTCCTCCCTGCTTCTCCCTGGACCCATTTCAATAACAATAGAACTCCCTCCTGCTCTGCCATAACCATTAACTATTGGGTGTGCTCCCTCTTCCCATAATCTTTCCACTTTATACTGTGTGTGGTGTGTATGTGTGTGTGTGTCTGCACTAGTTCTACCAAGGAAAGCTATCCCAGAATATTAGACAGTTTGAATCTTTTCTTTGGCAATAAGTATTTGCTATTGCCTATAGGATTCTTTTATAAGCTGAAAATACTTAGAGAAATTGCACAATATATATATATATCTCAGTAGCTCAATTATCTCGGAACATTCGAAGTTATATCTCAGAATGAAAACGAAAATCTGCTAAAGGTTACTTTTTTTTAATATTATTAAATTGTTAATCTTTCTGTAGATTTTTCTTTTGTTTTCCATCTCTATTCCTTTTTACTAGTCTTTTAAATGGATTAAAAATCTACTTTTAAAAATTTTTTGATTACTTTTATTTAGAAAAATCATTTTTTGGAGGAATAAATTTAAATTTGTAGACAAAATTCTCAATGGAAAAGTGGATAAATTCTTTTCTTAAATAAAAATTATTATTAAAATAATATCGACGATTAGATATTAATCATATTATTAGCTTAAAAATTTTAATTTTAGAATTATTTTAAAGCTCTTTCAATAATAAATAAATAATTTTTTAAATTTCTGCTCCTCAGATAAATGCAGATACACGTTTAAAGCTTATTATATTGAGTCGAATTTAATTATGTCTTTCTGGTTCAGTTTCTGTGCATCATTAAATTTATATAGACCCGAGTGTAAATGTTTTAATGGTGACGATTGATTGAAGTGAAAGTGAGTGTGATTAAAAGCATACATCTCTGACATGCTTTTGTCAGCAAGTTACTGAAATGACTGTGTTCTTTTTTTTACAGAACGGAACATGTGTGCTTAGTGACTTCGGGCTAGATCTTATGCTGACAGAGAGAGGGAAAGATGGCGACCAGTCTAGCTGTACAATTGATCTGTCTATTGGGACTAGTAGCTGCTATGGACGTACAGCGGCTTGCCGTGCCTCATGATGTATATCCAGGCTATGGTATCACTAAATTGCATTCGGGAGGTCAGTACTTTAGTTTGGCGGACAACGACTTCTCTCCCTACTTCGCCCTATTGAGTAACGGGATTTTGATGGCCACCACCAGTCTAGTCCACCTGGCCAACACTCCCATCACTCTGGTGGTCAGAGAGGAATATCCCAACATTACCACGGAACGAATGATTATTTTGCACGTCGTAGAAAGGTCGAAGATGTTAAAATTCGATCGGGAAGTGTATAATGGTGTAGTAAGTGAAAACCAGCCTGTTGGAACTGTAGTGGAAGAAGTAGAAAGAATAATCGCTTCGGGAGATCAAAACCATAAAATTACTTATAGTTTAATATCTGGAAACGAGGGGGAAAGATTCGGAATTCTGCAACCTCAGGCTAACGATACGGGTGTCATTTTAGTAACTAAATCTGTCCTGGACAGGGAAGGTCAGTCCACTTACGAATTGGTATTGAGAGCTACCGACGTGATAGCTGCAGATAGTTCGGAAGCACTAATTAGGATAGAAGTATTGGATGTTAACGACAATTCTCCCGTTCCCGATAGCAAATCGTATCGCTTCAAAATACCAGATGATGCCGAGTTGTATAGTGTGGTAGGTAACATCACCGCTAGTGATGCCGATGGAGATAAGCCCGTTTACCATTTCACGGCTCGTCATCCGGTTTTTGCCATAGTACCGAAAACGGGTCAAATTCTTCTCATAAGTTCACCTTTGCTGAAAACTTACAAATTATCAGTGAGGGCGGACGACGGACGAAAACCTCCGCGTTACAGTCCGGTAATACCCGTGTTTGTCGAGGTATTTAGCAACCAATATGACTTTGACAACGATTTGGATAGTACTAATGAGGTTCTTGTGCGTGCTAGAAGATCGGTGAGACCAACCAAGAGCTACGAATATAAGGAAACCGATGGTAGTGTCACGGGAAGGGTTATGTTTCAATTAGACAAAAAGCACCCGCACGAAGTTTACAAAATTGAAAATCCCAACCATTGGGTCGAAGTGGAGCCTTCGGGAGAAGTGAAAGTCAAGGAGCCCTGGGACTATGAGCTACTTGGCAAAGAGAAAACCATTGATTTCTGGGTGTTTGTAACTGGGCCAAACGTGGAAGGTAAGTCATATTTTTCCCCACTTTGCTATTTTTAAATATGTTCCTATATGGAAAGATCGAGTAACGTGTTACCACACTGCAAAAATTTTAAAAAATTCCAAGTTTTTCCACGTGACGTCTATCGAGTATTGCATTCTTAAAAGAACATTCTTATATAAATGGATGGTACGTTTTGTACGGAGCATTGCTCAGTTTGTATCTATTCTTTCATCCACTCGAGTAGGAAAGACTTCCACATACTCTAGCAGTTGGCTCGCAGTAGACGACTCTACACCTAATCGATTGGTTTGTCACACCGGAAGTAGATGTCTCGTGACGTCATAGGATCATGAGAAAAATCTCGAATCCTTCGTCACAGAACGGAATTAGAAATACGTAGGAGTGTCTGCAATTCCGACAGAACAAATGAGCTATTGATCTTTGACACCTTTTAATATTCCCACCACTTATAAATAACTTTTCCCGCGGCCATCTTACTTTTCCATCTTTCATTTAATTCTCTTGTAACTTGCAAAAGTGGAGCAGAGAGCTTCTAAATTTAGAATTTGTAGTTAATGCGGCATCTTTAAAAATCGAATTAGTAACAAATTCAATAAGCGTACGTGATCTTAAATGCGACATAAGCTGAATTATTGGCTCGAGTTTCTACGGAGCAGAAAGTGGGGACAGCCATTCTATCATATCGATTGCTCCCCACACATTGACGGGAACAATGTTCCCAGAGACCAAAACCAGCCACATACAGTAAAAAAAGACGAGACAATGCACTTATCGATGAGGTAATTTCTAGAATCTTTGCGAAAACGACATTAAAACCGTGCAAAATATCGAGTCACACCATATAGATTACCCTCGGTATAGTACACGTGACCAAAAAAGAATTCGATTTAAAATCTTGTTTACGTTGATTTAAATAAAGCAAACGATTTCATGTGTTATTTAATGACTACGTCGGTATATTACGAGGTCAAAAAAAAAAGAAAAAAACGAAATCCCGCACTCTGCACTCCCAAATTATATAGATGATTAAACAACATTAACTGCAAAATTAATAAGGTGTTTGGCGAGAAATGTGACAAAATGTTATTATTCGGTTCATAACGTCTTTAATGGAATGAAATAGCAAGACGATGTTTTCAGATACTCCGATAGTAATTGTGTTCCGTTCAGAAATGAACAGAATCTAACTGATAAGGAATAAGAGGAGGTAAAAAGAAACGACTTCGGATGGTAACTAAGTTACCAAGCTCAGTAATGAGATCATAGTTGTCTAGATATATTGGAGTTCACAAGAAAATTTCGATCACTTTCTTCCATAAGAACACACCGACGCTCTAAACACGCTTCCACCGTATACTGTAACCTGTTTTCAGGGTCGCAACTTATCACATTGACAGTAAACATGCAAAAAAATATATTTTATGCCGCTTGTTTATGCTTCAAGTTTAGTATTTCAAGATTGATAGAGGCATTAATAAATCACGTTAGCGAAGATATCGCGTTTCTTAAACACTTCAATATGCAATTCAAAGAGTTACGCCATAACGGATGTTCTCGGTTTTTTGCCTTTTAAACGGAGCAATATGTAGTTTTAATATATGTAAAATTTAAATAGTAAGTTTTTTGATAAAATAAAACGTTTCTTGCATATAAAGAGAGAACCATTAGAGTAAGAAAAAAGGTTTTTATCTTTCTGTTTGCGTTACTTTTTAATAAGATAAATGTAGAGGAGAACACGCAGTTCCCATATCTAAAGATTTTAAAACTTCAATAGAAAATTAAAGATAAAAAATATCTAAAATCAAATTACAAATATTCAAAGCACAACAGCAAAAATAAAAAAAAAGAGATGTATATATAGAAAGCAAAGAAAAAAAGAGGTTCGTGACTAAAGTTTGTAGAGTAACGTTCAAAATGTTCTCAATTTTTCTTTCGATTCACGTATTTTGTCTTGGGTAGCCTTTTAACGAATCGTGTTAGAATAATCATGCAAAGAAGGCTTAAATAATTAATGCACACCTCTAGAAACACGTAAACAATACCAAACTAATAAATATACATTCAACGGTAGAGCCATAAAGATACAAAGAAGAGGAGGCTCATAGGTCGACCCCGCACCATTGATCCGCTTTAAATTTAATTCGCAAAGGGCGAGATAAACAGATTGAGAGTCGCAAACACAATTCCTCCATGTTTGGATTTTGGAAAGAGATTACACTTTGTTTGATGGCTAAGATGGATGACGACTCTCGGTCATTTCTAACTCTTGACAAATGAGTCTATGCCTAAGACTTTAGTCGGAGGGGATATAACGTGTACATCCCTCCGGACACAACGACATAACCTACGATATAGAAACGTACGGAAAGTTTGCGAATGTAATTTTACTCGAGTCACGTGCAGAAGCGGAGACGATCACGCACACAGATGCGAGTAATTACCCCTCCGCTATAATAGAACATTGCAGTTGACAGTCTTGTTTGCTTGTCTCTTCTGAAAATGCCCGAATATTACTGTCATTTTTTTCTTACACGAGGAAATATTCCGAGCTTTAATTATCTTGTGTCAACGATAGTTTTAAACCGATGAAGTGTTATTTGATTTTTGAAAATTGTACAAATTTCTGTCAGGACGAGATTAAATTCTAGAATCGTGTCTATAAAATGCCATCTTTTGTTGTTGTTACCCGAGCTTTAGAACTGTAATAAAATTCGCAGATACGTGTAATTTAACAGGAAGTGAAATTTTAACGACGTTAAATTAATAAATAATTTTCCAATGCAATATTCGATGCGTGATATCAAGAACTTAATATTTTTCTTATGTAGTACAACATATAAAAAATTCTAAATTTTAAAAAAAAACACATTAAAGCGTTTAGATTTAGTGTTAGATTATTATGTTTTACAACAAACTCATTCTGCTTGCTTATTTTGCATAAACAGCATATAAAATTCGTTCTGCATATTTTAAAAACGGTTCTATAAAGCAATTTCGTGAACGTAAATGTTAACTTGTAGACTACACCTATACCGTGAAAATGTCAAAAGCTATGCAGATGTGTACAGATGCGGGGCGAATGTACACATGCGAATGTATTGTACAAATGATTCTTTCAAACTTTTAAATTTTTATGTAGATTATAAAAAGAAGCGATTCTTTCCTTATTCTTGCAGAATTCGGCGATTGAAACTTTCTCGGAATAAAAATAAAACTTTAAGATACATTTTATTAATAAACTTTTAAATGTATTTGGTAATTTAGCTCCTTAGCACATTTTTATTTTCGGTTTGACAAGTCTTTTTTTTTTTCTTACCGGAACGAAATATCACTTTAGAAAATCGCAATTTTTGCCACATCAGTGAATTCATTCGATCACAAACCAAGTAAATAAACGTCGAACACATATACAAAATTTATTTCCTCAATTTTAAACTGGTCGTGTGAGAAGTTATATCATTTTTTCTTCTTCGCTCTCTCCCCTTTTTTTTTGAGAGGGAAAAATACAGTCATTAATTAAACTCCTATTTACTTTATGTTAGAGAATTATACGTAAGGTTAGTCACGTCACGTCACGCTAGAACTTTTACACGCTTCCGAGCATATTTTTTAAAGCGTGACGTAAACACGTAGGAGGAAGAGGAATTAAGATTTCATTATTTAAGAGTGTTCGTTTTCCGAGTCCAATGTTGTTTTGTTAATATTTTAAACGATTAAAACACTTGTAGCGGGACTGCTTACGTAATTGAAAACTCCTGGAAAATATAATCCATAAGATGTACAGACACGTGTAATCGATCAATGTTCTCACTCCAGCTGTGAAAATCGTCAAGGAGAGCAAAAGGAGATTATGAGAAATTTCTATGGCCATTCGTTTTAATTTGACGTAAAGGTGTTTGAAACGTACACAATGAAGGAGAAAAGGAGACGTTGAACGGATTTGACTTAATCCTACTTCAATTGCGTTAAGACAGAATATAAAATTGATGCCTTTCTAGTTTGGTCTGTCTCTAGGTAATGCTAGATTTGGCCTTTCTATAAACGTCATCTCTTATTTACTCTCCGAAATTCGATTGGAAAATCTAATTGTATGCAATCCATCGAAGTTTAAATGATTAAAAAATAATTAATGGTTTCCTCAGAAGGGTGTCGAAACGCTACTTTTTGCAAACTAAATTATTGCACTTTTCAATTTATCGATCACCAGTACCTTATTCACTAAGCTTTAGTGTTACAGGTAAATGTGCATCCTCCTTAACTTAGCACGTTGTTAATATTGACGAAGGAAGAGAAAATCTTTACCATCAGCGAGAATTCCGAAATTGTCGTTGAGGTGGTTTTTCTCGTCAACATGCAAACTATCGCAGAAAGCGGGTTCATATCTGCAGAAAATTTTTTCTTCTAGTAAAATCGGTCAGCGACAGAAGCCGTCTCGACCATCTGTTGTGTCATTGAGAGACGAGACTGGAGCTTAGCGTTATGTATTAGTTTTTGTTATGTAATCTCGGTCTGGTTTCGTAAAGTAGTGATAACACTATAGACATTTCCGATATGTACTTTCCATATATCGACAATTTAGATATCAGAAATGCAATTTAGATCATAAGTTTTGCCTCGATAGAAAATAGGAAAAAGTAGTAGCGGTAGTAAGAAAAAAAATCGAAATTCTAAAATAAAGTCCTTCGAGGAATCGAATACAAATTACCTTTTTGGTATTCGACAATGGAATAGAAGATTTTTATGTTTTTAATATGGATAGTGGGGTTGTGTGTCAAGAAAATTGTGTAGTTATGAAGGATTGTGCACCCTTGTTATTAATGAGATCTCATGTAGAATGCCACACGCTATACCGTTGCCTTGGTGAAGTGTGTTTTAGCCATGTTTTCTCATGTGAAAATCAAACTTCTCCTTGCTACGGCTCTTATTTTTTCAGATCCTACAAAATATTCTATTTAAATATTACAAATTTTTTCATCCAATAATAAAAAAAAGTGTAAAAA